ATATACAATTTTTTTTGGGAAAAAAAGCAGAAAAATGCTGTTTTTTAAATTTTTTTACATATTCGGGATTCCCGGGATTTCCCGGGAAATCCCGAAAAATTTCAATCCCGATCCCGATCCCGAAAATTTGTCGGGACCGGGATTTCGAGAAAGAATAACTGCAAGCACAGAGGCAGGTGAGCAAGATTAAAGTTGGAGTTCTGCTCCAGAGAAAGATTTGGTATTCTCGGTAGTTTTGAAACCAGATCGTCTAAATTAGGATTCGAACTTAATATGTATAACCGTTCTCCTTTCAATCCTTATCATAGCATGAAGCTAATCCTGACTAAATTGACTTAACGCAAGTGGATTAGACATCTTCCCGCAAAAATACTCCTTACTCTGTCACTGATCAAACTAAAATTAAAGAAAAGCACAAAAACCTGAGAAAATAATTCACTTCCGCTTCTTAAGTTTTTTTGCTTAAATGCGATTGAAATTCGAGTAAAATGAAAAAGTTTCTTCAAAAATGGAGAAAATTGTTTTGATTTTTTGGGTAAGTTGAATAAATTTTGGCTTCTTTTTTTGCTGTGATTAATTTTAAATTGCTTTTCTTGGATATGATGTTGTGTTTTATTTGTGATTTTTTGATTCAATTTCTTTTGGCTAGAAGGTGTAGATACGACAATAGACAGCTTCAGCTCTTCTTATCCCTGCAATAGTTGAAGATCACATTAAACAATCTAAAATTAAAATGAATTAAATTCCAATCAGAATCTTGAAACTGAACCACAAACCAACTATTGATTTACATACTTAAAAATGCGCCAAAGCTATAGTCAAAGCACTTAGTCATCCAAATTTCAGCTTTTAAAAAATGACCACAATTAAAGGTTGAAACAATTTTATCGTAAATGGGAAAAATGTTAGAGTAATTGCCTTAGATTAAGCATAATGTTATTTTAAATATAATACATTTAATGATAAGAAGACATTTTTATATTTTGTGAAACAATGGGGCAATTTGTGAAGCTACTTAACCATAAATGACGTCTTAAATTAATTGGTCCTTTCAGTAGACGAGCTCCATTTTAATGTGGGAAATAACATTTGAGTTTGAATAAAATTATTTAGAAATAAATCAAAAAGTCATCAAAATAAAGACTTTGGACCGGATATGAATTTATGGGGAAAGAAAGTAATTGAACTTATGGAAAAGAGTCCAAGTTACAGGAAAACGAGCTCACACGAAAGCAACAATTTGAGATTATTAGGCTATTGTTTTTTGCTTCTGGATATTGTTGTAATTACAGAAAATTAATAAATTGGAGTAGAAATTCAAATGAATAATTATGAAATTTACTTCTTGTGTCGTTGACATCAATATTATTCATGTTTCATGCTGTTGAGGTTCAGTTCCTGCTCTTTTTGTATTTATTCAATTTAATCCGATTTTGTCTCAAATAACTCTATTAAATTGATTGTATGAAAATCTTCTGTTTTCTTTATTATTATATTATTATATTATTATACGAGTTCTTATTAAAATAACGAATTTTAAAATTATGAAACTTCATTTTTACGAATTTATTTTTCTCTGTATATTTTTCAAATTTTAAAAAACCTTTGGCTTTAAACTAGTGTTCGAAATCTCACCAAAAAACTCGTGAGAAAAATTTTCTCAGAGAAAACTTGATTTGAAATCTTGCGAGTTTTCAAATCTCGTGAGATTTTTTTGATAACTTTTTGGAGATTCTTCAGGGCTATTGGGTTCCATAGGTTTTCTAAAGCTCCAAAAAATACCAAGAAGCATGTAGGAAGCTTTAGAAATGTCCAGTTCCGAAGTTTTTTTCAAAATATTTGAAAATGGAATCAGAACCAAAAATTGAGAAAATAAAGTTTTTTGAACTTTTGGGGAATGATAAATAAAGTTCATTTTAAACCATCCTTTACAATGACATAGCATTTGTATTAAAATTCAAACGAAAAGGGTCTCAACGGCTAGTTCCTCACACTCAAAAATGCTTAAAGAGATCAAAAAAGAATCCAGAGGCAGGGTGGGGGAGTTTTTTTGCGATTTAAATCAAAATCACAAATCAAACTGTGATTTTTGATTTAAATCTCAATGAACAATGATTTGAAAAATGATTTTTGATTTAAATCATTTTACCCAAGTGATTTATTTTTGATTTATGATTTAAATCACATTGTATGGGGTTTTTTTTTTGGGATTTTAAATCACTTGAAGGTGAAAATTTGTTTGGGAATTTTCAGAAGATTATTTAAAATCATTAATCATTAATCATAGATATCCTTTCTGGCTTTTGGATATTGTAGTATGCAGATGTTGGTATAGCTCTAAATGATAAAGCATGAATGGATCTAGCATCATATGAGAAACTAGTCACTTCCAGTCCCTTTAAAGCATTTTTTGATATGATTTAATTGTCAATGAGGTATACGTTTGTGTTTCTTAGCAAGAGGTATGATTAGACACTGGAACTGCCCAGTTCCTTTACATCCAAAAATTTTTTTTTGTTTCTTTTTAATCAATGAATCACATCCTGGAACAAAAAATTTTTTTGAGGAACCGACCGGTTCCTTAAGTGCCTGAAGACTAAAAATGTTAAATATTAAGTCATTAAAGAATTAAGCACTTTTTCTGATTCCTTGATTAAAAAGAAACAAAAAATTTTTTTGGATATAAAGGAACTGGGCAGTTTCAGTGTCTAATTATATCTCTGGCTAAGAAATACAAACGTATACCTCATTGACAATGAAAACTTATCAAAAAATGCTTTATAGGGACTGGAAGTGACTAGTTTCTCATATGATGCTAGATCCTTTGGTGGTTTATCATTTAGAGCTATACCAACATCTGCATACTACAATATCCAAAAGCCAGAAAGGATATTCATGATTAATGATTAATGTTTTTTAATAATCTTCTGAAAATTCCCAAACAAATTTTCATCTTCAAGTGATTTAAAATCCCAAAAAAAAATCCTCATACAATGTGATTTAAATCATAAATCACAAATAAATCTTTCATACAAAATGATTTAAATCAAAAATAATTTTTCAAATCATTGCAAAATGATCTTGATTAATGATTTAAATCCCCACCCTGTCCAGAGGCATTGAAGCTGTAAACTGATCTACATTCAAAAACAGGAACACAGTCAATATCAGAGAAACTTCCATTAACCTTTGTGTTATAAAATTTCATTCAAATTTTTTGATAAATTTCTCTTGTGACGTCACAAATTGAGATTAAAAATCTCAATCAAGATTTGAAAACTCGCGAGATTTCAAATCAAGTTTTCTCTGAGAAAATTTTTCTCACGAGTTTTTTGGTGAGATTTCGAACACTAGTTTAAAGGTAACGGTTTTTTAAAATTTGAAAAATATACAGAGAAAAATAAATTGTGAAAGTGAAGTTTCGTAAAAATGAAGTTTCGAAAATTTGAAATTCGTTATTTTAATAGGAATTCCTCAATGACTACTGCTAATATTTTACTTATTACGTAATATTTAACCCTGATACGTTCAATTCATGTTCGACAGACTTATCGAAAGTCTAGGGGTGTTTTAAAATGCAAATTCGCAAAATTTAAATTTGAAAAACCGTTACAATTTTTGGTCATTTTATTCAAGTTTTTGATAGTTTTGAAAACAGATTTAGCTATATTATGCTTATTATTAAATGCCAAGGACTATGGATAGTTGATGAAAATTCGAACTCGAATTTTTGGTCAGAAAATTTTTGCGGCAAAACTTTGAAATTTTCATTTACGTTATAATTTTTTTCATTCTATTGTTTTTACAATTTAAAATGCACGTGTAAAGATTGAAAACTACTTAATTATATTCAGGGGGGGGACAGAGCAAAAATTGCTATGAAAAAAAACCCAAAAATGTTTACTCTGATGAAATTTCCAAGTACTCCACTTTGTATTGAAAAAAATATTGTCGAAAAATGAAATTTTTGCAATACTTCCTTCCGATGCAGTTTAGTTTACTTTGATACTTCAGTTCCTTTAAATTTGACTTTTTCAATTTCGTTTGTGGAGTACTTGGAAATTTCATCAGAGTAAACATTTTTGGGATTTTTTTCATAGCAATTTTTGCTCTGTCCCCCCCTTGATTATATTGTATTTAAGTGGTTTTAGTTTTATAAGGCTGGAAAAATGTTTTTTTGATTGATTCAAATTTTATCTTCCAATTTTTGTCAACAAAACAAGTTTGTTTACAATTTATGACAAAATTTTCAATTGCAAGTTTTTCATCTATTTGAAGCATAATTTAAGCTATGACAGTTGCAAATCGATTATTATCGCTCAATAATTACAGCAACACGCTTAAACAGAACCAAAATTGTCTTTAAATATGAAATTTTGTGAATTTTTGAAAAATTCATTTTCGAACTTTCGTAAACATTATCGAAAAAAATTCAAAATATTTATAGTTTAACTGACATCGTGCTTTTCATAGTCCTTGGATTAAATGATAAAATAATATTTTTATCTAAAATTCGTGAAAAACTTGCTTAATTTAAGTTTTCATATTTTCCTAATTTTCGAAAATTTCGAACTGCAGGGTATGAAACTTCGAATTTTGCATGGCAGACAAACAAATAAGACATTTTTACAAGTGTTCTTGGAAACTGTAACGGTCGAAACTCTTGATTTGTTCGTATCAGATTTAACCATCATCTTTAGGGTCGTTCCAAAATGATGTTCATCAAAAACTCTTTATATAGAATTAGTAACGCAATAAAGAAACGAACGTAAACTATCGACCAATGTCAATTAAGCTGGAAGAAAATCGTTTTCGCATGGATAAATTTTTTAAAAATCTTAAATATAAAAAGACCGTTATTTTAAAATTGCAAGAATCAGAACATTTTCTAAATTAATGAAGAAACAGAATTTCCAAAAATTATTTTGATCTTTTAAATTTGCACTTCAATCAATTCAAAATAAGGCAAATGGGTTAGAAAACTTCAATTTTTTCAGCGTAGTTGTTCTCTTTCGTCGAATTTTTCATATTTTCATACCCTGTTTTTGATCCTTAGTCATTTATGCGTCAGTTTTTCCTCGGATTTTTCAGGAAATGGCAATTAACCTTAAAAATGACAGTAATTCTAGTTCAAAAAATGGAGTTGAGCACGTCGAATCTAGTTTGCTCACTAAATTATGCTATTTCGTGGAATTTATTATCAACGCGATCAGAAAAAGTGAATATTCGCAACAAATTGAATGTGTAAGTTGGAAAAAACTTAATTAACATATTTTCAACTTTTAAATTTAACTTACTTTTCAGTTGGATGGAATTTAACTTGTCGTTGAACAGCATTGTCTTGCGTCTGCTGGTTATTGACAGAAATTTCGTTCAATCCTTTCCTGGACAGCTTAAAATTGAGTATTGTGTATCAATTGGGCCTCTTCCTGGTCATCAATTAAAAGGAACTTTTTTAATTAATGAAGCAACTCCATTCAATGGTGGATTAGTCGTTGGAAAAGTTCAAAATCCATCACTGTTGAGACAAATCGCAACAAAGGTATGCTAATATTTTTTTTAAATTGTTTACAAATTATACTTTTATTTACCTTTCAGATTATCTTCAAATTGACTAAACCAGCCAATCTATCTCGATTGATTGATGTTGAAACAAATACAATAGAACCAAGATGCGATTTCAGTCATGTTGATTTGAATAATCCAGATTTTTCGGACTTTACAATCGTTTTTGACAATCATCACTTTAAAGTCCATAAATTAGTTCTTGCATTATCAAGTTGCTTCTTCAAATCACTTTTCGAGAAAATTGAGTACGACGAGGAATATAAGGACATGACAACATATTATTGCGCTAACACTGAAGGATATAATCACTTCCATTTTGAAGTATTGTTGAATTTTATTTATACAAGAAAGCTGGAAACTTGCGCTTTTGGTCCATACTTCTTTGTTGAGCTTCATCAACTTGCTGTGTTTTATCAAATTGAGGATTTGAAGAAGCTGTGCCTATACAATGTGGAAAAGAATTATCGGGAACTTTTGCATTCTGATGTTCATATACTTAAGATCTTTAAGTACGCAACGGAATGTGGATTAAAGGAATTAGCTGATGACTGTTGGTTTTTGATTAAATTGTGAGTATTTTTGTATTTAAGAAATTGAGTTGGCTTAAAACAGAAGACCAAAACATTAGATTAGATTAGATTAAATCTAATCGTAGGCTTAAATCATCGGATTTATTATAAATCTCAGGATTAATGATAAATCCACTCTAATTCCAGTGGAATGTTGCGAATCTTCGACAAATTAAAGCAGGAACCACTGCCATATGATATAATTAATAAAGTATTGCAGAATCAACTTGTTGAAAGTGAATTTTGGCGACAGTATGCTGTTAAGTAAGACATTCATAATTTTTTATGCATCTAATGCTAATTAAATGAATTTAAGTCTAATTAATTATGTTATTTTAAACAATCAACTTCCAAACTCGATAAATTCACATGATGTGAACCTCTGAAATAAAACAATAAAATAAAATAGCTAGAAATGATCTCTAGGGACATTTACTTTTGAAATTTACGAACCCCTCCTTTAAAAGTTATTTTAACAGTGCATCATCAAAAAAGTCAAAAGCGTACGTTACAGCACGAGCATTTACATCTCTACATTATATCGTGAGCATAAACATGCATGCAAAAATCCATCATAACCAGTCTCACAGTGCTCATTTGATAGTCATGAATTAATGATGAATTTAAGTTGTTCCTTCTCATCCACATAATGCGAAAAAGAGGGCTAAATTGAGAGAATAAGAAGCACAACGTCAAGGGAGTTGTATAGTTTGCATGTTAATTAAATTAAATTTTCATTACATTTAATTCCATATCCTTACTTGATGTACGGAATTCCTTATAACATCCAGAAATGATATAAGATGAAATGAAATTTCATTAAATTAAGCAGCATTAGAAATGAAATTTGATGAAAAATTTATTGGCAAATTGTAAAGTCTATGGCAGTAAATTGAAAATCAATTTTAACACCTCCATCAAGCCATTAACACCCCATTTGTTTGGTCAGGTTCTTCGATTTTTATTTTATTTTTTTTACAAATCGTCCATTGACATTAAAGTTTTATGGATACTATCTATTTTCGGACATGACTTCGTCCTTATGAAATTCTACTCAATGCGTTACTTTTCCTTGAATTTGAACGCAATGAAAAGTTTGGAGGTTATGTCACGTAGTTGATACGTAATAAAAATTGTGAGAAGTTTAAAAGTAATAAAATGGGTCAATTGGTATGATAGGATGGAATAATCTTTATGGTTTACTTTTCAGGAGCTTGTTTTATCATTTAAGAAGATTAAAAAGATCAAGAAAGCTGTAAATGCTGTCAGAATAATTCAAAAATAAAAATCCAGAAGTTATCTATTTATGCAGTTAAGTGCCTTGCTGGTCGAATAGGTAAGGCACTTGGCTCAAATTTGGAATGGTAACTCGAAGGTCGTCGGTTCGAATCCAGCCATTTCCAAATTTGTTCTTTTTCGGAAGTTTAGATACTTCGACTGCTTAATGTACGAGATCAAGCCATAATTGGGCATTTGGGCAACGTTGGATTAAGGAACGGGCCAGGAACTTGAAGTGTAGCGGGAGAAATAGGAACGAGAGCTACAAGATTACCCACGAATGGAATATTGCTAGAACGGACCTGAAAAGTATCACGTCACGCCCACAGAAGATTGAAACGAGAGCCTGAATTTAATCGAAACCTAGATATGAAGATTAGAAGTTTGATCCTATATAATACTAATTCATATGTATACAAATACAAAAGTGTAAAATGTGAATTATTACCGGATAGTATGTCGTCAATAAATGCAATAAAGTGCAATTAAAATGAAAAAAATCTTGGAAAAATTTGAAGACAATTGTCATCTAGTGAAGGAAAACAGCATATTCTACCAGCTGGGCATAGAAAACGATGTAAAGAACGATTTTAAGCAAATTCTTTATTAATTGTTTGAGTAAGTTCGATACAACAATCATCCAGTAAACTTATTTGTAATCAATAATTTGAAGGAACTGATAGATTAACTTACCTGAAGAGTTCGAAATGAAACATTTTATAAGACGAATCACAAAGAATGAATCGAGTAAATCAAGAATTAACAATAACCTTGCTGTTAAATAAAGATCCAAATCTAAATCTCACTTAAAGAGTCTCAAACACCACAAAACACTAAAATTCACTTAGAAACATCCCTAACTTACCAACTCATCCCTGATTGAAGCAAAAATCATTTTCCCATAAATTCCTTGTTCACAAATAAAGAAAACCCAAAATAAAAATAAATTGCCATAGAAAGAGAAGCAAATCTAAGCGCTGTGTGTACGAAAACCTTTCAATTTTTATTGCCTATTCCATTTTCAATCCCTTTTTTTTGCACAAATCAGACAAACACACATATTTTTTTTTCACTTAAATTTAAAAGCCTTGAAGTTGTGCTTTTGTAAATAAACTGTTGGAAGTGGAAAGACGAATAACATGATTAATAATTCATGAAATCTTCAATGGTGTACAGATGCTCCTTTCTTTTTTAAAAACAACAATTTTCTAATTCAGCTTCTATGCCTTTTTTTTTATTCATTTGCTCAACATTTAAAACTTTTTGGTTTGTGTGTATATAGTCACTTAATTAAGTTTCATTCATTTGTGTAAATATCTAAAAGTCCGCCGAATTTTGTGGATTATTTAAATTTACATGATGCATTTTAAGAAGTGTTTGTCGATGATGGAGTTCTGAGAGGTCCGATTTGATATATCGAGAAGAAATGGAAAGGTGTTGTTAATAGTCTTTATATGATGACGGCTTGTTATATACAATTTAGGTAAGTAAAGCCTATAAAGCTTAATTGTGTAGTCCCAGTTCTCTCTTAAAGCGATTAAGTGCATCCTCGTCTAAAATGTCGGCAGCAGATGCTGTAAAATCATCATTTGGAAATTTAAATCCATTGTGACTTGCCAACAGTGCCATCCTCACTTCACATGGATTTTTAATAATGTGTTGAAATAATCTGAGAGGATAGAGAGAAACCACAAAGAGACGAGAATGATAAATTAATGGATCTGTGGCACATGTCATTACACATCATATCCAACTGCTACCCCTAACCTCAAACTTACCTTTCGCGATTATTGAGTTCACTGGCTGTCATCAAAAGTGGATTTGGGATCATTTGTCTTAATGATTGTGGAAGATCTGTCGGAGATGCTGCTGAAGCACTTGAACGTTTCCCATTTGTCCAGCCACGTGAGTATTGAAACGTTTGTGCAGCAATTTGACTAATGCAACAGAATGCAATCACTAATATTATTATTGACTTTGACATTTTTAATACTTTATGTGTATATCCTATGAGAATTTCCTTATGCTTATCTTAAGTTCACTCTACAAAAATCACTGAAGCAATGATTGAAAAATCGCATCAACATAAGTCCTTTATATCCTCTCTTTTGGCAAGAAGCATCATCATCTACTCATATCATATCAAAAAAGAAATCTATGTATGTAGATTTCGTGGTTGAGAAAGGGCATACATCGGTAAACTACGAAGGAGTAAAGGAGATGGAAGTAAAACATATCAAATCAAATCAAAGTAATTGAAATGATATTTTGCACGTAGGAATATGTAGATGAAGATAAAGCATACAATGCGGAGCAAATTGGATACATGATATAACCCTTTTTATAAAAATATACATCCATACAGATATTTTGGATGCTTTTATTGTGAGGATCTTTAACTGTTTTTAGAAGGTTTGACTTAGTTTTTGATATTGTCTTCAGTTTGTCTTAAAATGGCTGATCTAGCATCTTTTGGTTTGATAATCAAAGACTCAAGATCCAGTTCATGTTTGCTAAACTAGATGTGCTCAAGGTCGGAGTCGTTCTTGTTTGTTGTAGACAGAAGAGGTCAAAAACAGCCATATACCTAGACACGGGTAGAAAGGACGTAGACTGGATTACACATGCTACGGACACGTCGAAAAATCCGTTATTTTTTGCTTTGAATTTCAAAAAACCGTTAAATTTTCATGAATATTTCTTGCAAAAACTGGCAAAAACAAGGCATGAGCAAACGATTCTTATTCTTAGCTTCGTGTTCAGCTAAGTTTAACTAAAATCATCCAAGAAAGTACTCAAATCGAGGTCCTTAAAGCAGAGCTCGAAGTCTATAGGGTTCAAGTCGACTTCATTTTTGTTCGAGTCCACTCGAATCAACTCGACTTCTAGCTCTGCCTTAAAGTTTGAGCAACACTGCCCTAAGTCATCGTACCTTCATAAATCTCACTTTTTATTGATTCCTTCCGATGTGCATCAAAGAGACCCTGATTCCTAGACTTCCTTCAATATCTTATTTATAGGTAAGTGGGTCGTTCACTTATGACATCAGGGGGGGGGGGGGGGGTCAACAAGAGAATTTCGGACGTCATAAGTGAACGATCTTAGCTGCTGCGCTTCCTTCTACAAAGCCATTCATACTCATTTTCTCCTTTCAACGCGTAATTGTGAGAAAACAAAATAGAATACAATCAATTACTTTAAAGCATCTCCGCACACACATGTATGAATTTTGATACGAGTTGAAAGGAATTTTCATAATTGCATTTCAATGACGGAGGTGTGCAGAGCTGTATGCTTCGTCATAGAATTTGATACAGCACGCAAGATATGAAGATAATGCATCTCTGTACAACACACTTGTTGAATGCTTCTTCATAGATTTCGGGGGTATGTACCGTGAACGAGATAAAGAAGCTGCATACTCCTTGAATGATAAAATTGATACTTTCAGATCATAATTGTCTGTCTCTTATAACTAGAACAATGGTGTTAATTGCAAATGTGCTGTTTTGTTTTTGAGAGCATCATAAAGTCATTTGAGGTGAATTGTTATCGCGAGGCAGACAGTAAAAGGATGGAGAATGAAGATTTAAAATTTTGTTTGGTTAAATTAGATAATATTGTCTTAATGAAGTACGTCTGTTGCTTAATATTCTTCAATCAGGGCTATTTTCGTATCTACGGATACGAAAGGTAATGGTAAAGCATGGAGATGGCCCAGCCTTTTGAGCTGGAGGCACTGCGGTTCAAATTAGGACAGAATCTATTGTACCACACCCTTTAGACCTCTAGACAGGATATTTAAAGGTAATTGATTAACTGACAATCCTGATTAATGCAACAATATCAGAAGTGACGAATGCCTGACTGAATTATTCTGCAAATCCTTGTCATATCTACAACATTCTATGTAATCTTCCTCTAGAATGGCATATCTATCAGATCTGTTGCCTTACTGGCTAATCTTTATATATGTGGCATTTACTATCCTGAAACAATAAGAAACACAGAGCTGTATGCAATGACTAAACTACAAATCATTGTAGACGAAGTTGGGAAAAGGAAATGGAACTGGATTGGCCATACATTAAGGAAAGACCATACAGACATCGCGAGGCAAGCGATTTTCTGGAATGTCCAAGGAAATAAGACTAGGAGCCGACGAAGAATTACTTGGCGTACAATTGTTGAACGGGAGACGGAACAACAGAACTAGAAGCTGCAGGAAATAGCAGCTTTGGCCAAGAGTCGAGTGCGATTCAAATGCTTTGTGGACGACCTACGCTTCATAGTGGAACAATAGGAACCCATCATCATTATCATCATAGGCTATGTCATTGCAAAACTTTAACTTCATCGGCTTCTAAAGCAGCATCTAATGCTAAACCAAAACTAATGTTTTGGAAACGGAACAACTCTTGTAAACTTAATGCTTTTAAATTGAGCATCATTGTCATAAATGGAAGACCAGAACATGAAATAAGTTCATTCAATATTTCTTAAAGTGCTAAATGTAAGATTATCTTACCAACAATAGATTATCTAGTTCCTCAATAGGTCAATATCTCTCTAACCTTCATAATATCTATTCCATAATCTATCCATCAATATTTTATGCAACACAAAACAGACTGTTAAAAGCACTTGCAATCCAAATATTAAAATCTATTGAAAATTATGTAAAGTCCAGCCTGACAATGTAGCAATCATGACTCAGCTACATTGTGCAAGATTATAGATGACGAATGAAAATCTTTTCAGGAAGTTAAGAATGATTTTTGCAGGGCAAATGACTATAGTAATGGGTAAGGGGCCATTCACTTATTACGTAACGCTTTTAGGGGGGGAGGGGGGTCTAAGATTTTGTTACGGTTCAAACAAGGAAATTTTTTTTCATACAAATTTTTTTACGAGGGGGGGGGTCTAAAAAGTCATTTTTTCGCGTTACGTAATAAGTGAACAGCCCCTAACCTCAGCATGCCTAGAATAGATTGGATTTAAATAAAGTAAGCATCCCGATCAAAAGATTACTTTAATTTAATTTAAAAATCTGCAAAGGATGCCTTCAATTAGCCATTCAATTGTTTCGCACTTCTTATTCAAACACACACGTGCCGATCTCATACAATGTAATGTGTGCATGTAAAGCAATCCATTTTAAAGTATATTTTTTGTTCCGTGTGGGTGCTGTCGATGAATTTCAATATATTTACTGTACAGTAGCTTCAAATGTCTAACTGGAGGTTATTCTATTTACCATAATTTGCTGAAATGACGTCATGATACACAATATATGAATCTAATTAGATGTTGGAGATGATAATTCACTTAAAATGGACGTGATGATAGAAATGCATAATAAATTGACAATTTAAAAGGAGTGAGTAGGTTGAGTGACAATTCAATGGACGAGATGCAAGCACCTGAGAATTTTTGATTATTCTGACCTTTTTGAATCTCCTGACTATTGAGAACAGTTCAAGGACTTCTTGAGAATTTATATTTTAAAAATAACCATGTCAGTGTCACACGAGCATCAGCATTTTTATCGTAATATTCATCTAGGACGACATATCAATCCATCAATCACACTCACATTATGATGATCTGCTTCCTTCACATCTTGGAATGTGTGAATGCGTGATAAAAGTAGCCATGCTGTAGATTTTTGACAGACAAGAAATTGGGTTGAATTGGACACACTTTGAGAATATATTGGGTCGATCATAAATGACGTCTAACTCTTAAGATGATTTTGACAAACTCAGCATGTCATTAAGTCAGCAGATGCAAATTAAATTTATAAACAAGTACCAAATAAAAAACCGTTAAAAAGTAATTTGAATTTACACATCAACTTTTACACATCAAATTTTGCTATGTTCTGCTTTACCAACACAAATCTTTCACATTTCTATGCTGTAAATCAAAGAGAATAAAGCCAAGAACAGTTTCAATTTAGGAGTTTACAAGGTTTTTATCACATTGAATTTTTTTTATTGAAAACTTTCTCATAATTTCCATGTTTTCTTCACAAAACTTGTTCCTATAAACCATAATAAAGAAAAAATAATAGTTATGATACAGATAGATTACTAATATTTATACCATAAATGAATATGATTTCGATAGATTTACATTAAAAGGAAGAGTTAATTAAACTAAAATATAAAAAAAAAATATCTTATCCAACTCAATTTGACGTCTTTGTCTTTATAAACTAGGCAGTAAGTATGAATTACTATATATCTTATTATCTTTGTCTTTCACAATTTTTTTTAATTTATTTGATACACAACTTTTTTTGATTAATTACAGATTTGTTTGTGCTGTTACAGCAGTTCAGTCCAAACTTTTTAGAAATGAATTGCTGAATAGTGACTTTTTGATCCTGAAGAAATGCGAAATTTTCTTTGGTTATTTGCTAAGTTGAAGCTGTTAATACCGATTTTTATGAGATTATGGATCAAATCATAGGATTAAAAAACAAGATTAATTTTAAATCCTGGGATTTAATTTGAAACCCAAGATTGTGGATAATTCAAATAATTTTCAAACGTTATTTTTCAAATATTTTTTGACTGTTATTTTTCAAACAGCATTTTCTTAATAAATTTGAAATGTTTCTAGCCGTTAAATTTTTAACTTTCATAATTCATTAAAATGGTCAATAATCTAGCAAGTTTGGACTCAACTGCAGTCATTAGTTCGAAAATTGATGTGATGGAAGGAAAGTAAAACAACTTTTCTTGTTTTTATCTATGAAAAATAAATGCCTTGTTTTGTAAAATATTAGAATATAAAGAATCTTTTCAATCAATATCAAAATAAGTTTTTTTACCGACTTTATCGAATCGTATTTATCTTAACTAACCGCTCTTTTGTGGATATTTGGGAATGATTTGGTTAGAGACTTGAAAAATGTAACATTTTGGGGTCAAATTGAACTATTTTTTTTCTAAATTTTTCGTCAATTGTCAAATTTCACGTCCTTTAACAAATTTGTGTTTGCTTCTTCAAAATCTCCCAATTATTATTTATCTAGTATTATTGCATTTCATTATGAAAGCTGAATAGATGAACGATGAAAGCTATGGAAAATGAAATTTCTTTAAGAATCTCAGATTAATTTTTAAATATATTAATTATATAATTCGTCAGACGTTAGAATCTAATTTAGAATAACTTTTTTTCTCAATATTTTTTTTTTTCACGCAAATCGATGGTTAAATAATTGTAAAACGTTTTCACGTAGCCACTTCACGGCCTTCACGGACATAACATAAACGGCAAACACGAACTGGTTTTGTAATTCCATAACGCAACAGTGGTATCGTTGATGCTGAGCAAACGCCACAAAATACTTGTCCGCAACACCTATAAATAGAAACAAAATTTAAGAATTAAAAAATTATTCAAAATCGTTGCCTGCACACTACTATTGACCAACTCATGACACATATCATTGGTACTCCGCAGTAAAATTTTTGGTCAAAAGTCGTATAAAGAACATCACTATTGTAATCTTTAAATTCATCACAAGAAACCCAAGTATTCTTAGTCAAACATTAAAGTCCACATAGTGGTGCTCATAACACGATTTTTGACAGAAATTGTCGATTCAACTCACCTACAATGATGACGACGACGGAATGCAGTAAACGATGATTCACAGCCCATACAACGTGGAGCTGCATTGTCAGGGATCCATTTTGGTGGTGATTCAGTTCTTTCTGAAGGTAAATGACTTGTTGATGGGAGAATGCGACGTGGAGATGGTTGTTCCTCATCATAACGATGTGATGTAGCATCGTCACTCAAACTGATACTTCGACCTGTCAAACGATTTCCATAATGTCTCTTATAATTACGTCTATTTATCTCATTGTCGTCGCGTGTCGTTTGAATGACTTCTTCGTCTATTTCCTCGTCTATTTCTTCCTCAAACACAGCATCGTCTGATTCTGGATTGACCTCTTCAGCTGAACATATACTTTGTTGTGATCCTATTGATCCTTGATTACTGTTACTTTGTCTAATTACATTCTCTTCGCTCGCACGAAATTCAAATAAATCTTGTGGATTGTCTTTTGACTTTTTCTCGTCAATTATCTCTTCGTCTTCTTCGTCTTGCGTTGTATTTATTAAAAATACGGCTTTAAGAATTTGGCGTAAATCTGCTGCAAAGTTTGTTTGAAGTTGATCCGCAACTCCGGCTATACATACAAAAAGTCGATGAAGTAAGTTTTCTGTTGACCTAAAACAATTTAAATGACAGGAATTAGTGATGATTTTAACGGTATCTGAGTATTTCAATTTTAACGGTTTTTGAGGATTCAAAATTTTAGCGGTTTTGTAGAATTCAAATATTTAATCGGTTTTGTAAAATTTGAATATTTTAGCGGTTTTGTAAAATTTAAATTTTTTAACGGTTTTTGTAAGATTTGAAATGTTAGCGGTTCTTTTCATAGTTGAACCCCTTTCGCAAATTTCAAGGCAAAACCGAATATTTGCAGCAGATAATTAATTAAAATAAGGCAAATATTGTGCAAAAGTATGCATTAATGCTTATCTACGATAAGATTTAGCACAAAAATGCGATAAGAAAGATTAATAAACAAAGTAAATATGCCCAAAGTTCAAGAAGCATGTAAAAAAGGTTAATTAAAGTAGAGTGGAAGTAATTACTTGAATTTAGCTCGTCTCGATAAATCTCTCGAATCGGATGAAGATGGTGATGATGCAGTACTAGATGAGGCACTAGACAGTGACGTAGAATCGCTGCTACTTGATTGAAGCTTCCGCAATTTTCTCTTACCGCTTTTGTGCTCTTTATGTCTATGATGATGACTAGATGTGCTTCCACTTTTACTTGAACTTGGATCAACAATCTTTCTCAAATTTTCCCAATTCTCATCATATTGACCCGTAAGAACATTCGTATTTTGCTCTTGCTCGGGACTTTGATCTAAGCTGCCATTTTCTTTCGTACCTAAGCCACTATCACAATTATTGGCTACATTCTCACTATTTGGTGATGTATTTTGATCATCTTCATTATTATTATTATTTTCACTAGTTTCTGATATGACAATATTGTACGTTAATGGCGCTGCATTTGATTGAAGCAAATTCCCTAAATTTGTATTTGGTACGAGATATCCAGTTGCACAATCGGCTGTTACAAGATTATCATAATTACTCGTTGCTTCACTGTTATCATTTTCATCATCCTCAGCCTCATCGTCAGCACCTTCTGCATCCTCAGACACCCATTCGTCAGATTTATTATTACTTGGATTGGTCTTTATTGTATAAAAGTTGTCATTATTTCTGTCTATGTTACTGGATTCGTTATTATTCACAATTGTCACATTTGTTGTCAATGGAGTCGATTTATCATCACAGCACTGTTCAGTGCTTTCGTCAGCTAATGATTGCTTTAAATTTATTTCTTCATTTGTGCATAATAACTTTTCCAATTGAAATAGTTCGTTCTTGTTGAGTGTCCGAAGATAATCTCGCATCTTTATGAGAAGTTTACGGAATGGACGAAACATCTCTGACAGTTGATCACTAAAAGGAAATTTAAAGTTGTTATTAATGATTTGTTTTATTGATTTCTGAGTGATTAATCTTACCTGTTCTGATCCATATTGAGTGGGCCTTTCTCGAATATTATGAGACCGCTAATAATTGCAAGTCGTGGAATTGAAAACACTGAAATTAGAAAAGAAAATAAATTTTTAAAAATTTAACGGTTTTGTAGAATTTGAAAATTATTAACGGTTTTGTAAAATTTGAAAAATTTAACGATTTTGTAGAATTTGAACATTTTACCGGGTTTGTAAAATTTGAAAAATTTAACGGTTTTGTAGAATTTGAAAATTGTTTACGGTTTTGTGAGATTTGAAATTTCAACAATTCTAGAATTTGAAATTTTTGATGGCTTTGTAGAATTTAAACATTTTAACGGTTTTGTAAAATTTGAAAAATTTAACGGTTTGTAGTTTTTCAGAATTTAAAATTTTAACGGATTTTACCAAAAATTACAATTTCTATAAAAACCATTTTATGACAATTTTGTTAGGTTTTATCGTCTTAAAGAATGCTTCGTTTAATCTCAAAAATAATAAATGTTCAAGAGCTTTGTTTTTTGGAAAAATTGATAAAGAAAATACTCACTTAAGGATGGGTCATAAGTATCAACTTGATCTTGTTCTAAAATGCCTAATTTAAGTGCACGCTGCAACGTCTCAGAAAATAGCACACATATAAGTTGCTGTATCTCATGCTCTTGCTTTGTCTTGACCTGAACCATTGCACTAACATAAAGCAATTCAAACTCAGCAAATAATCTATCAAAAATCTTCAACGACTCATAAAGTGTTTCTGTTGCGGAATCATTTATATCCAATTTTAAATGCGGTGAATTTGGCGTATTATTACGAAGGCACTGATCTCGCAATAAGTTTCTCACATTATCTAATGATTTTGTAACAGCTTTGGCTAATGGACGCATCTCGGCACTCTCAACTTCACGATTGAGAATTGCAGAACCCGCCGATAAACACTCAGCACCAAACCATAATTGACCTGCGAGACTTTCTTGAAGGACTTCTTCCGGAAATTTTGCTCTAAATGCACGACATGCTCTATCATCGCTTAGCAATTCGTCCATTATTTGATTTATTATTCCAAGAACACGATCCTAAAAATACGCAAAAATAGACATAAGTAATTGCATGAAATAAAATTTGTGTTTATGTAGGTGAAATATTTTTAGACATTTTTCCTTGAACTCTAAACGGCAAACATGTGACGAGTAAGGAAGTTTGGAGACGATTTCTGATGTCTGAGGCGCATTTTTTGCAGCACCCTACAATGCTTCAGTAAATCCCAAAAAAAATGTCCCACCTTTACTAGACCTCATCCCAGACACAATGTCTATAAATCAGTCTCATTTTTGTAAAAACAAATATCGTCATCATTCAGTCAAGCGAAAAGGTTCAATTTTTGCGTTCTCAGACAAAAAGTTCAAATACGTCGTCAGTCGATGAGCAAAAATAGACCACAAATATCAAACTCGATGCACAAAAAGCGCGACAGATATTAAAAATAGAATACAGCATCGTACCTGCTCTTGTCGTAATTTTGATACAAGTCGAGAACACCTTTCCGGTTCTGATCGTCCATCAAAGCTATCTAATTCATTTGCTACTTGTGATAAAGCACGATCTGCATGATAAAATCTAGCGAGCAGGGATTTATCATCAGCCTGAAAGAATAAAAAGAAAGAAATGTTTAATTAGTAATTTCTTGATACTTAAAAATGATGATAGTGATAATTGATTAGTCTATGAATAGATTTAATGATCCTTTTTATGATTTGAGCTCTTATTTTATTAACATTTTAGAGATCTTTTTTTCTTTTCTTCGCAGAAATAGAAAACATTTGATTGATTTCATTAATTTTTTTTTATTTCTTGCCTTAAAAGTTCACATTTCAAAAAGGTCAATTTCTTATGTTTTGGATCCCTTCTCAAAAACTCAACATTGTTATTTAATTTTAACTTTATCAAAAGTCAGTTTTATGATTTAATTTGAATGATGTTTTATTTGGTTTTATGTGAAACGGATTTATAACTTTGCTATAGTTTGATAAACTCAATTTCTTATGAATCGGTTAAATATTCAAATTTTACAAAACTATTAAAAAGTTTAAATCTAGCAAAACCGATAAAAAGTTCAAATCTCACAAAACCGTTAAAAGTTTTAAATATTGCAAAACCCGTTAAAAAATTTTAAATTTCACAAAATCGGTAAAAATTCAAATTTTACAAAACCGTTAAAGTTTTTAAAATTTTAAACAGCCGTTATTAATGATTTTTTGGTATAATTTATTTAAAAAATATTGCATGCTTTTCAATCTCCACACAGATGTTTGACAAATTATCTCAATCAATAAACCAAGATTCATCATTTTTCTAAGCAACAAATACGAAAAAGAAGCAATTTCCAAATAAAGAAATGACGTCAATTTGCAGGCTCTCTTCTTTTCCTTGAGTGAATAAATAATAAAGAGCACCAGTAGCAAGCAACAGCAGTGAAAGAAACGTGAAATGAAGAATAAAAATTTCAATTTCTAGTTTCACACATCAACAAGCAATAAATTGACTTTTAAGCAATTTGTTATTAAAAATCACTACTTTTGAGGTTTCAAGGAGTTAAAATGTATATAAATACCATGCTACGGACACGTCGAAAAATCCGTTATTTTTTGCTTTGAATTTCAAAAAACCGTTTAATTTCCATGAATATTTCTTGCAAACACTGGCAAAACCAAGGCTTGGGCAAACGATTCTTATTCTTAGCTTCATGTTTAGCTAAGTTTAGCTAAAATCATCCAAGAAAAATACTAGAAATTAAATATTAATGCTCAAAATCTTAAAATTGACAAACTTTTAACGGTTTTAAAATATTCAAACACTAGGTCGACTAAATTCAAACATGTCGAAAATATTCGACTCTGAAATGTCCGTAGCATGATAAATACTTAGCAATAAGTTATTCATGCAATGAAATAAGATGAAAGTGCTTGAAAAATTTACAAATCAATGAATATCGATTATGTCTGAATGATTGGCTTGATAATAGAGGCTGTTTGGATCAATGAACAAACTTTACATTCACCATCCATATCCATCTCCATTCACAAGAATTACGAATCTGTTTTCTAATCAAATTTTCAAGTTTCATCATTTGAGTTTTACAATTATTTCCCATGTTACACAAAAATCGTGTTCATAGCACTATTATGGATGAAATTGTTGATACAGTTTATATAAACTGCAATTCTGAACTTCAATTAATGATTGCATCACACAATTTTTCCTATTCATTTCATGGATTATGATTTCGATGTTCATTTTGTAATGTTGATAATTAATTTGTGGATTTTTGTTGGAAAGAATGGATATAGATTGCAGTCCTTTTCATCTTCATTATGATAAGACCTTCATTAAAATTTAGTAAAATATTGATTAAATGATGGAAACTGATCAAATTTCAATCCTGATAGAGAATAATTTGGGCATCAAGTATTTGGTTCTTAGTGGATACTTAGTGATATCGCTTTATATATTAGAATTCAGAGAAGAGTTTGGTAGGATTGGGATGCAGAAAATTTTAATTAATTTATTGAAGACCGTGTTAAGACTCAAATCCTACAAAACCGTTGAAAATTTAAAATCTACAAAATTATTAAAATTCAAACCATTTACAACCGTTAGAATTCAAAATCTTACAAAACCGACAAAAATTCAAAATCTACAAAACCGTTAAAATTTGAATCTCGAACAACTTTTAAAATTCAAATCTTACAAAATCGTTAAACCTTCAAAAAAACATTTTTCACAATCTTTCATTCAACCTTGCGTTCCAGAAACATATAGATTTCTCCGTACTGCTCCACACCTTATCTGATTAAGACACGTTTACTTGACAGCTAAATTTCATCTATCTAGAAACTATTTTTAAGTAATTGCGCAGAGAGTTATTTATGTTGATAAATAATCATCTCAGCCAATATTTAAAGAATCTCAATGAATATTTTAAAATTAGTCATGCATCAAGTTATCAGTCTGTGATTATTTTGTTATTAAGAATTAAGTGAGAATTGAAAGATTGTGAAAAAAATGTATTCATAAAAGCTTTTAGCTAAATAGTGAAATGAAATCAATTTTCTGAGGTACCTCTCGGCTGGATTTTTCCATTTTGAAGCTTCCGAAAAAAAATTGATTGGTTTTGACGTGTTTTAAAATAGCTTTTAGTGGTCGAGAAAATTGATGACATTTTTGACGCTTTTAATTACCTATTGTTGATAGTAATAGACTGAATCAATTTTAATTTACAATTTTATTAAATTAATGTCAATTTTTGCCGAATGAAAAAAAGCCGTGCTATTGACTCTTCCACAACAATGAACTCAAATGGATGTGATTCACATCTCTTCTTCTTCTTATTGCAATTTATAAATTAAATGTGGAACAAATCTTTTTGTGATCATCATAGGAACGAACAAGCTTTATCATGAATAAACGTCCAGATTTCCCAGAATTATATATCATCAGCTAATGCTTATTTTGGTCGTGAATAATGTATAATTTTAGTTTTTAATAAAATTGTTTTTATGGTGAAATTTGAGGCTTTTTATGATGCAGGAATGGCATTTTTTCGTGCTTGGGGTTTTCTGAGAATATTTTAATCCCGCCCTTCACGCAACCCACTCTAAAAATGGCCATGACCCTGCTCTTTATTCAGAACTGGCTTCGAATTCAACTAGCTTTGAATTGACTCTAATAAGTCCATTATTTATTAAAATTGTCTTAAAATCAAAATTAACTCAATTCAGCAAATTTTACTTTTACTTAATCTAGTTTTCTACTTGCTCAATTTAGTAATCAACTAAGGGGCCATTCACTCATGACGTTCAGGGGGGGGGGGGGTCAGCAGGAAGAGTACAATAGAAATTCTTGGAATCCTATTGTTTTTTTTGAAAAATGACCGTTAATTTTGGACGTCATAAGTGAACGACCCCTAATCAGAATAAACGTAATAACCAAAACTTAATTTCAAATCAATAAAACTCCATTGAAAAATTCCCCATACACCTGTTAAGTTGATTTTAATGACACGAAACGGGGAAAATTTAAACTTAAAAGAAACTAATTGATTAAACAAAAGTAATTCAAGAAAAAAATTAGGTTTTACTTTTCAATTTCCTCATATATCTCAAAACTTCAATGTTTACAGTAACAACTTTGTTCCAATTTATTTCTTTCTTTTTTCATGTGTTCCAAATTAAATTTTCATTTTTAATGTCATATATTTCATTAACTGGATAAATGTAAAAATTTCTCATATATGAGCTCTTGAATGCTCCCATTAGCATGTATAAGTATAATTTATTATAGCCTTGAAACTCTTACTGATAAGATCGTTCTATAGAAGTGTACACAAAGTGATTATAAGAAATAATATTACAAATGAAAATCAATGATTGAACAGCACTCGTGGAAAATTCTCTTAAAATTAAGTTATTTTATTTTATTTTATTGATTTGTGTATTTTATCAATCAAAGAGTTTGGAATGACAATTTGTCAAATTTGAAGAATCTGTTGGTTTACAAAAATCTATCATTTACACTGTTGTATTTATTTTGAACCAACCCCCCCCCCCCTTCTTCCCTCCAAACTTTTTTGCCATGATCAAAGTCGCACATAGCATACGACTCGCGTCATTTCCAAAAAATTGTCTACGGTACACCAATGTGCCGCGGCACACTGTTTGGACAACACTGCTCTATTCTTTAATTTTCCGAAATATACAAATAGCTACCAAGAATTAGGAACATAGCTACAAGTCAACGACCACTCAAAGAGCATCCCAAAAATAAAACTCAAATAAATGTCGCAATTTTATGCCAGCACACACCCACTAAATTACCCTTAAGTCTTTAATATATAAATAATTCTCCATCGAGCAGATTTGCATAATGATTTTATTCTAGCCACAATATGATGATCAGGGTGGAGACGTCTGACTGAGGAAAATCCCCCATAATGAAAGCCATAGGATAATCCCTAAAGTCGTAGCTTAATGATTGACTTTTTTTCACATTCTCGGACATTTCTCATAACAATTAATCAACAGTGAATGTTTATCGACAGTTTTATTTCCATTGAGATTCATTTCATCAGTCGAGCTCACGTGATAAATAGGCACAAATGAGAAAGAAAATTTTGCATTTCCTTTACAACTAAAAATATACAAATTCTAACTTATTCTTGACATGAATTAGTCATCCATTTCAATTGAGATGAAAATAAACATAGTAAATGCTGCATCGCTTATAAGTAAGTACTTTTTCATATTTTTCTCATAATATATATCAGCATATCTGTATGATGTACTTAATAGAAGCTTGTAGAAGATTCTTGATTTAAAGACAAGCCTTTATTCTATCAATGCAATGTACTTAGCCACAATTTGGGTGGTCGTGAGTCACACAAACTTGGTTGTTTGGATGGAAAAGCAAGAAAGCTACCAAATCGACATTTGAGTTCCTAGAATCGAGCTCAAAGATGTTGGAAGCGATCTTGTAAATCAATCTTCCCTTGCTGTTTGATAATCATTTCTAAAATCTTTAAATCATCCAAAACATTTGTCATAAGAAATCTAATCCAATTGCAGTCATACACGTAATACAATTTCGC